CAACAGCGATTAAAAAAAAAAAAAAAACAAAACGAAGTTATGGAAAAGATCAAATGAAATCAGACAAAAAGAGTAGCAATGGGAAGACGGATTATAGATCGGCCGTTATGTTAGAAAGACCGACGGGTGAAAAAAAAAAAAAAAAGGTCTTGGTGCTTATATAATCGTGTGCAAGCAATTGCCTTTTTGTTATGTATGCGATTATGGAAACGTTAGTGCCAGTTGCAGCAGCAAGGGCGTTTTCATCGAGAGCTGCTACAAGAGCTCTTGTTTTCGTTTGGTGCTATTATTAAGGTCGAAACGCAGTTCGAAGAGCAATGATTTTGTATCCCAAATTTTTTCTGATATTTCAACTTGATGTTGATTTGAACGAGCATTCATTGATAATGAATTCGAAGCGCGGCGTTCACAGTAACGAGAAAGAAGTGAAGAATAGACAAGTTCAAACGCAGCCGAACGAAACGAACGTGGAAAACGAAACGAGAAGCAGAGGTGATTTGAAAACGCGGTAGCTAGGAGGAAGAGCATGCATTTTAGTCGCTTCATTTTAAGCAGGTTCTCGCCCCCTGGGACTCGAACCGTGACTAAACCGGATGAACCGCGAAATTAATTTTCTTGCCAACTTCTACAATTTTCTTGGTCGAATTCAAATTTCCAGAAACGCAACGGTAACGAGAAAAATACAAACCAATAGGACAAGATAGAACGGAGTGATAGCTCAGTCTACGTAAGAAAATATAAATATGTACACATATATTTTAAATATAAATATAAATATAATATAATATATAAATATATATTATAAATATAAATATAATATAATATGTAAATATATATTATAAATATAAATATAATATAATATATAAATATATATTATAAATATAAATATAATATAATATATAAATATATATTTATATTTAAAAATAAACGAGTATTTTCAACAGTAAAATAAAGATGCACTTTTAATTCAATATGTATTTGAACGTTCAGTATCAAAATGCCTTTTAAAGCGAGTCAACGATGACGCAGTGCAACATTTGTAACGAAGTATGTGTATATCGATAAACAGCTGGGGATATCGACAAGGGGGATATTTAATCTAGCAATTGGGAATATCTACAAATTTCCGAGCTAGCCAAACAACCGGGTCGCTCGTTTGTATATGTGAACGAATTTAATTCAACGTCACTCTTTATCACGTGACATCGTCGAAATTGCATGTCAGAAAGATTTACTGAAGAACAGACACACACACACACATACACACACAGACCGTACGATACTCCTTTGTTTTGGAATAACGCGTATACAAGGGAAAACCATAACGCGACGGAAATTGGAAACGCGTAGTTACAATTTCAAACATCGATCCTCTCGTCCTTTTACGCGGATTTAATTGTCTTTCTCTTCGACCTGTACTTTTAAACTGTCGCTGGAAACGACATGAGAAAAAGAAACGACAAACGAGAATTGGGGAAATGATAATGACACTGCTGTTTCCGTGTCAGAGAAATTAGATCTCGGAAGATGCAGTCCCGTTGCGTTTCATCGGCCGAATAGAGGCAGCTCGTTAGGAGCTGGGCCGCACACCTACCAAGTCCATTAATATGTGAGGGAGCAGCCCTACCTAAAAAGTGACTTAGCAACTCCAATGCATACTAAGCAACCCTTATGCTACTGTGGCTGCTGGCTTCGTGTGCACTCCCTGACACTCCTCTTCCTCTAACTTTTCGCTCTTACCACTACTATCGGCTCCCTCTAAGCTCATCTTTACGAACCAGCAACAGCATATCCAACCCAGCCCTATACATTCCAACAACACGCATTTACTTGCACCTACAAACGCACGTGCGATTCTTTATTACAAGCTATCATAACACGACATTCACGCGTGCTCAACACCACATACAGAGTGGTCGATCGATAATAACAGAGAAATCATCAGTTTGTAATTACCAAATCTTCGTATATCAATTATATATCATGCTTAATATACGCTTTAATTATTTAATTACTTAATTAATATTTACACTTTCTTTCTTTTTTTTTTTTAGATTTTCAGTTTGTACGAAGTAGAACCACCTCTGTATACAAGCGTGAACGCAAATTTTCTTTCACCACCACCATTCACTGCCGTTTCCTTCCGCTCCCTCGTACTTCTCTTCACTATCTCATTCTCCTCCCCATCCAAACGTCCTTTCTCACGATATGTGTGAATATGCAGTGAGATGCGCATGCATTTATGGAAAGACAATGCGCTGGCTTGAAAATGGATGGAAATCGAGAGCAGAGTTCCAACGCTCTCAAATACGACGATTATTCGCACTTAAAATAAAACAATTAAAACAAAAATTTAGTTGTCTCTTTCCATTCATTCGAGCCAAAAAGAAGAAAAAGAAAAAGAAGAAAAGATATCTCGATATCGGGGCTAAGCGTTATCAAAGATTTATCTAGCACATGCTCACAGAATGCAAGAGGATATCGAAGAAAGCGAGGTAATGATGGCTGGCTACGAAGAAGAAGTGAATTTACGTGGCAAAAGAAGTGACGGTTACCTGGTGCATAGGATCGTATCCCATCGAGCCGTCGTTGTACGGCTGCGAACCATAGTCACTACCATTTATGCCCATTCCGTATCCGGCCATGTCTTGTGGTCCACCGGGTGGCGCCGGCGACATCATCGGCGTCGGGGTGCCTTGGCTAGCGCCACCCATACTGTACGGCGACGCTCCTGCAAAAGCTGCTGTAGAAACAATCGCGGTGCATACAAAATTCGAGGGTGCGTCTTTTAAGTTCTTCCGCCTCACTGATTAACATTTCTCGTTTATCATAAGAAAACGTGAGCTCGTTTCTAATTTTTTCTTTCTAATCTCGTGTAATCGGTGGCGCCGTTCGGTTCTTTCATCTCTCCCTCGAATATCACCGATTCTTTAACATCGTCTGTTAAAGATATGAAGTTTTCGACAATTAGTTCAACCAATAGGATTAGTTATTATAGACGCCACCGATTAATTGAACCGACAATAAATCATCTTCGATATTCTGCACAGAACGAACGAATTGTGTCAGGTGAAAGCAAATTTTTATCAATGGAAGCAACTTTTTATTGTTTAAATTAGAATAGTATAAATTTTCGCACAGCAACGCTAAATAGCTTGAAAATTAGCTTAGTTACTTGATAGTGCAACAATACTGGGAAATTTTCACTTCAAAACGCGAGAACATTTGCGCTATCTGAGACGAAGTACTGAGTTCCGTAGTGCTGGCGCCAATATCGTTGGGAATTTCGTTTCTTTAATTACGAGAAGACTGCGGCCCGTTTACTGAGACCGTAGCTAAGGAAAGACAAACACACGAAGAAAGAAATGCGAGAACGCCGGTATCTCATCACCCTGCCGTATTCGCGTATTCCTCTGTTCTCTTCTCATCTTTCCTTCCCTCTTTCTTCACATAATTGGTAAAAATATCTCGCCTTGCTCTTTAAAATAAGAAGACGTCTTGGTTATTAAGAGAAGTACATATAATTGCGACCAGCAAGTTGTGTGAATGCGAAGAATTTCGAGAGGAAACACCCTTGGAATTTTTCTTCTAATTTCCTTAAGAATGGAAGAATTCCATTGAGAATGCGCAAAAAGTAAATACGAATGAACTAAGACAGACGTGTCGCTATTGAAGAAAATCCTCTGTCACGTTTAAAAATGATACGCAAAGAATGGATTGTTGTACGATCTTAGGTTCAATGAATCTTTCACGTACCAAAAGTAGAAGAAAAAAAAGAAGACTTTCAATCGATAATTTCGTTTCCTCCTAAAGAATTTATTAGTCAGATAGCCGTAACAGTGGCAATACTAAGCCGAACGACGAGCAATAACTTGATCCCATCTATGATTTACAATAATGAGAAACGACTATACATATATATTATAACATAAATTCTTTCTCTGCCAAAATCTAAAACTAAAAACAAGTTCGACATAAAGATGATTGCGACGATGAAAAGGTACCAAACAACCTATCCTATGTAAAAGGAGTTTGTCATTTTTTTCAGCATAAATGTCAATTATTGGAAAAGACCTAATTTTTCAACCGTTTAAGTTTCACATTAGAATTTGATGCTCATTTACATGAAATATTTTTAATACGAGCAGGTTATCGAAACGAACTCTTCAAGGAACACCCGTTGCTCTTTCGCGAAGGACGGAACTTACCAGCTGCCTTTTTGGCTGCGTACAAGTTCGCCTCCTCCTGTGCTTTACCTATGTTTTTCTTGTAGCGTATCCTCTTGTTGCCGAACCAATTGGAAACCTATAAACACAAAAGACAATTGTACTTGGTTGCTAAGAAATTTCAGTATTTAAGAAAAACTTTCGACTAGTCTATTATCGAAACGATTGATCTTCGATTGGCATTAAAACATGTTTAATCCAGAGTTACTTAAACTTCGCAGCGGACATTGGACCATGTCCAGACTGCTGTTCGCGAATAGCTCGCGAAGTGTGTTTGCCAGTAGTGTGAGCGACAATTTAGCGAACAGCGAATAGTATTCGTTCGATACATCAAAATGATGTGTTCGCGAGCTCCAGTGTCTGAACGTGTCTGCAACATTCTCTTGGTGAAATAAACAATCATTCTCCTTTCGACTTTCAATCTGCGAACAGCGAGCGAACAAGCCAGCAGTTATTGGTGATCTATTAGCGAGTAAACTCTCGCAAGCAGTTCGCGAACAGTTCTACTCAATCTGGACTCGGCCTTAGATACGGCTGTTTTCAGTTTAATTTACTTGGTAGCTAACAGTTAAATTCTTGCGAAATGCAGAAATTCTTTTTAGTGCAGAAATTTTAGTGCAAAACATAGCTCAACAAAATGAAAAAAAAAGACACGTGTAAGATTAGATGGTTCTGCAGGTAAAATGGCTCGATATAGATTATTACATGTCAATTTTTAGTTTTTTTTTTTTTTAAATAGTATATTGTATCTTGTCATTGTATCATATATATATCGCATTAACCGTTCTTCTTGATTGTTTTCATTTGAAACATAAGGAAAGTTGTGTGTAATTGAACAATCTCAAAAATTTTCTGCTTATTCTTTAAACTATAATTTAAACTATAATTTACTAACATTTTACCAAGTAATGCCTTTTTCAAAATACAGTGTGTTAATATAATATTTAGAGATTATAATCTTATATAATGAGATATTGTTGTATCATTAAAAAGTTGTATCATTTCCTAGACTATCGACTTAGATAGATTAGTAAATATTATTTTAAAAAATCATGCCAACTAAATACAAAAGAAAATCTAACAATAGAGGATTATGAAGGGCAAATGAAGGATTGTTGAATGTTGTAGAAACAATTCAAAATGACAAAATGGGCGTGAATGTGATATCTAGAGCTTTTGGTACTCTGATTTTCACGTTAAAGAAATGAATAAAAAATAATAATTATTGAAAAAAAAACTTTAGGACTACCTTCATTGCTAGATATGAAAAATGAAGAAAAACTTAAAATTCATACGAAAAAAAAATTGGAAAAGTACGGTTTCGCATCAATAAGTACGTGAGTGTATAAGATCTATGGCATTTGACTGAAAACTTGAGGATAAATCATGAATTTATAATAAGGAAAAAGGATTAGCTGGATGGACTAAATATGTTTTTGAAACGTCATCCAGATCTTAGTGTCCTAAAATCAGAAGATGTTTCTTTGTCTCGGTACTAGGCAGATTAGGAATTGACTTATATTTTCAACTCTTAAAGCAGATTTTTTAACGAGAAACTCTCTTCAACAAATTGAGAAATATATTTAATAGATAAGATAGGCTTACAATTGAATAATAAACTAAAAATTGAGTTTAAAAATTGAGTTTTTGTTTTGTAAATCTATGATTATTTTTTAATCTGCTGCTTGTAACATTATAAATTTTATACTATCTACTTTCGCAAATATATATATATATTATTTAAAATGTAATTCTTTTAAAAGAAGTGGGCCATCACTCCCCAAGTTACTCTAACAAGGGCACATTTTTCATGTGCATCAATCTTATTTCTTCACGTTATATTTATTTTCTTTCTTTGTTGCTAAAATAAGTGTTTTCACTGGTAATGTGTGGTGAGAAAACATTTGGAACGGGTTGTGTAAATTAAACAGTGCAAATTTTGGTGAAATTTAATCGAGCGCAACAAAAGCTTAATCGAGCTTAAAGAAAGAAAAAAAGATGTTTTGTTCCGTTTTACCTGACTCACGGTGATTCCACACTTTCGTGCGAGTTCTTCCTTCGCTTCCTCGCTCGGATACGGATTACTAAGGTGTGAATAAAAGTATTCGTTTAGAATTTCGGAGGCTTGTTTGCTGAAATTCCGTCTCTTGCGCCTGCAAAGAAACAAAATTGATTTCCTCTTCGCATCGTATAATTCTCGCCTTTCATCCATGTACCCATTAAAAAGGAAATAATAAGAATAAACAGTCAATGTTTATTTTTAATATGCAAACTCGCCTTGCATCGAGGAATCGACTCCTCAGAATCATCACGGCTTCGCAAGTCGATTGTTTAAGCTGCATTTGGATGCTGGAGAATTTCTTGTGAATAATCTGAACCATCCTCTCGATTTCCTTTGGCGTGATTGGCCTGGTACGACTTTGTTCCCTCAATAAGTTCATTACGTGGGTCGTGAACTCGTTACACGCCTGCAAAAAAGATAAAGAATCATCTTTTCCTGTTTCAAAGTCTATGGAATGAATCTTTTTTTTTTTTTTGGATACACGAAGGAAAGAAAGGTCGTCGCGTCTTAATGCTTGTCCCGAGTATCGAGAGTTGGAAGATCGCTGACGTTTCGAGGCAAGAACGAGAACCTAGAAGGAGAAAACGGAGAAAAGGTTTGGAAGAAGCAGGGTGGGAACCCGGAGAAAGGACGACGATGAAGAAAGAAACGAGACGAAAGACGCGTACGTATAATGCATTATTCGTGGTGGCTGCTCGATTTAAGGGAAAAAGGACTTTGCTCGATATCAGTATTCGAGACGAGCACGCTACCTTCGGAAGGGAGCGAAGAAAGAACGCAGGCGAGCGTACAGCGAGTAAGAAAGGGAGTAGGGAAGATGGAAGGTAGAGGAAAGAGGAAAGAGAAAAGAAGTAAAGCGTGAGAGGGAGCGAAGGGGACTAGAGGTGGGTGGATTTTCCTGAGGGAAGGCGCTAGAGGGAAGAGGCTGGCAGGGGAGAAGTCGGACAGGATGGCTCGCAATTTCGAAATGGATTCCACTCTGCCGCCATACCCCAGTACTCTCCTCGTCTTTCTTCTATTCACCCCGTTTCTCTTCGTTCTCTTCTCTTCCTTTCTGCTCTTCTCTCTTTGCACGAGCGTACCAACTTGGTAGAATGGATCAGCTTCATTCCTGCCTCGCTGTGTTCGGCTAGGACGAGGGGCTTGGAACGATCTCGAGTAGGTGGATTGGATGGAAAACCCACTGAGAATTATGTCCTTCTCTACATACTTGTGTTTCTCTCAATTTTCAAATTATCGGAACGATGGAAACAAAAAACAATATTTTCTTAAGAAGCCAAGTGAATATTTTTCAATTGGCTGCTGAAGCATCAAACATTATTACATCGTGTTATCCGACAAGGATCAGTCTCAAGATGAACGCAAGTTTCTCAAGATGAAGTAAACCCTCATTCATTAAAAAAAAAGGGGGGGGGGAGAAAAGTCTGCGAGTTGTAGTTGAAGATTCATAACCAAACTGATTTCATAGTCAAACATAAGAAACGAATGTGAATCAAGACAAACAATGTGAGGGAAGAATTGTTACGGAATCTTAAAAATATCTAAGATATTCATCTCAGTCGAAACGATAAAGCCAACAAGTGTCCCGATAACAGTCGTTAATTCGTCTCCGTGCAAAATTAGATTTCTCACGGTGTCTTTAATTTTACTGAAGTTTGCTCTATTAATATGTGCGCACGTATTTCGAGGATACAGCACACTGAGGGGTTTTTGGCTTGCGAATGTTATCGAAATTCCAACCTGCACGCTGCTAAATATACCTGGGTCGCGGTTACGTCTACCGCGGTTGTTCTGCGGTTACCGCAATATACGACAGTCCCCCTTTTCTTATGTAATCGAATTTAGCGTTTGCGGCAATTTTCGTGAACGAATTGCCACCGTCTCTATTGCTCTAAATTACGGTAGCCAGACAAAGAAAAGACCAGGAAAAAAGAAATAATAAATCGAATATTATAAAACGCAAAAGAGAAAGAGTCACAGCAATTTCTCTAAAGGAATGACCATAAAAAGTCTGACTTTGTTCACATGAACTTTGTTCATCGACAAAAGAAAAGTTAAAATCTTTGTTAAAAATTGAGCGCAATAAAATAAGTATGTACTAGGTAAGATTCATGCCAGACGATATTCGCTGGCAATGATCACGCGATCTCGTAAAACTCGATGCTGTTCTATTCTCGTACTTGTCACGCCATTTTGCATAGTCAGGCAGACGTTCACCTTAATGCAGTGACTCCGGGCCGCGAGTTTGAATAGTAAATTTCGGTTATGATAAAACTTTTGGCCACGACGATATCAACCGTAATAACGTTACTTTTAAGCGCAGCAATATATTCTACGACAGAACTCGAAACACTGTATTATCCAGGTTCGCCAAACTACACAGCTATCCGAGCACCGTCTGGAACAGCGGTGTATGTTGTTCGTTTAAATAACAATAGCGAGCTAGCAGCAGACACTGCGAATAAAGCCGTGTAAAGAAACGAGAAAAAATGAATTTTATTTCGCGCCTCGAATCTCACTCGGTGTTCTCGTGAAAAAAAAAGAAAATGAAAATCGAATTTTATCTCGGGATAAAGAGATGGACGAAGATCGAACCGTGGAGCTAAGCGTTAAAAGTAAGTCGAGCGAAGAAAGTAAAAACGAAATTATTGAACTTGATAGCTTTTCACTCTTAGATGAGGGGAAGGAGGAGAGGGTTGAAACTTGTTAATGGCCAGACTTATCGATAGAGCGTCAACTAACCCTGGTAACTGCAGTCGCACCGGTGCTGCGTGTGTGCACGCGAGCGCATACATCTCGGCACGAGTTGCGTCCATATTGTTGCGTCTACAAAGAATTTCACATGCGTCCATATATACGCCAGTGGACCTCAAAGCAAGGGGTGTACGTATTTACTGCGGGGAAACATCAAGACCGCTGACACACGGTGAAATATGGGGTCGAAACGGGTGTGGCAATTAAAGCACGCTCTCACCCTCTCGCCTCTCTCTCTCTCTCTCTCTCTCTCTCTCCCTCTTCCTCGTGATTTGGTATTTATGTACGCACGAATACACGAACCAAGCCAGTATGAACGAATGACAGGCAACCGTTATTTGCAAAGTATGCAAAAGGGAGAGAATACACGGGAGGCGTTAAAAAGAATTATACTTTTATCGTTGATAAGTGAGTCGTGGCAAGTGGGAGAGAGATCATGCGCGCTGCACGCCTCCAATGCTTTTTGTTTGAATCGCGCGCATATTAATGAGCTGGAATTGATTACGCGTTACAACGAATGACCCGTGGCGTCGCGTTAGCAAATAACATTAAATTTTCACGATAGAAATAACAAAATTGAAAATACAAAATGAACTTGCATGGAAAAAAAAAAATCTATGGACATTACTACACATCGATCGATGTACATGACGCTCGAATTCACGGAAGCAAATTTAACGATCATTCGAGCAGTTTAATCGATCTCGAAAGGGGATTGAGCGTTAACAAGTTATCAGGAAGGTAGAATGTTTTATTAAAGTTAGGACAGGCGCGGCGGTAATAAAATTTTAGAATTTCCTGGAATTTCGAGGGCAAAATACAATAGCCCGTAGGGAATTTCCTGGCATTAAAAGAGATCCGCAGTTCGCGATACAGCCGTTAGCCTAGTCGACACGCGAGATTTTACTTAGCGCGAGTGAGTCGGTTCATTAGCACGCAAATCGTCGAACAGAGACGAGTCTCGTTCTCTGCCACTACCCTCAAAACTTGTCTCTTATCACTTTACCCGAGGGTAGGAAAAAAAAAGAGATCCCACGAAAAAAAACTACACGACCGCCGTTTCGATTCGATTACGCAGAATTATTTGGAAACACTTTGCTTTTTCAAGAACTCGACGCGCCAAACAACATGCCAGAAACTTCTGGCATGGACGTGGGGATGACGACCATTCACGAACCTGTTCGTATTTCTCCAATTCCTGATGATAAATCTGTCTAATTTGGGCAAGCTTGGCTCTATAATCCGAGTGTTCGATAGCGTTGTCAGGTTGTCCAGGTGGTCCACCCGCCGCTGCTGCCGCCGCAGCAGAGGCCGCAGCTCCCGCTCCGCCGCCCTTTTCCGGGCCAGCGACACCTTCCGCGATCAACATGTTGTCCAACCTCATTAGCTGCGGGTCGGGTGGTTCCTCTTCCTGAGTATTTCTTAAAGACAGCACTGAAACAGAAAAAAGTTGACAAAATTTCAATACAAACGTAAAAAAATCGCGTTGGACGTTGTCCGATTACTGAAACACTCAACTAATTGGTCAGAAATATTAAAGGAATCACGATATGAACATATCATTTCATTTTAATATCGCCTGACAAATGAACGGAAACGAAACGGCAAAACTCGAGATAAGAGATCCTGTTTCCACGGAAGAAGAAGGAGAGAAAGAAAGTAAGTTGGGGAAAAGTCAAGCGCATTTATCGATCATAAAAGAATCAATTTTACTTCGGTGTTCGCTCCTATCTTCATCCCGGTCTCTCGATCCTTACCTTCTCTTTCTCTTAAGGACCGATGCACGCAGTGCTTTAGAACGGGGGTGGTTTTCCACGGAATAACAGTGGTTTTATTTTACTTTTACGGCGCATGATGGAGCTGGACGAGCCATAAAACCACAGAGAGCGAGGCACTTTCACTTTCCTTTTCTTCCCTTTGTCCTTCTCCTGTGACAGTTCTTCCAGAAAGATGCATCTTTCGACAGTCTTCACCCCCCCGATACATAAACCAACACGTTCACGCACGAGTAAGCACGCCGAGGGGATGAACAGCCCAGGAAACTCGTGCAAACTGCCGCGAGATGTATTTCCCCACAGCACCGATTATTCTTCCCGCGATTTAAAAAAAGTGACGAGTACGTTGTTTGTCGAGCGGCAAACTTAGCCGGAACAAAGACCAAGGCGCGAAAGTAGCTGTATCAAAAGAAAATCGCTAGACTAGAAAAAGAGGATACGTGCACAGAGGAAAAAGTAAAACTTCAACGTGCGGACAGACATGACTGTCGATGAAAGAAACGAAAATGTTAAAGAGGGCAGCTGTTCAAACAGCGAATTACTAAAATACCACGATACTTTTCTGAATGGAAAATGTTTCAACCGCGCGTATCCCTCAATTGAGATTTGAGAATTGAATTAATCACATTTGCGGTTATTTGAACGGTAATTTAAATTCGTTACGACTTTTTTTCTCTCGCTTCTGTCTCTGTCTAGTTCCAACTTGCTGAAAAAAAGTCCCTGGAGACGAAAGAGAAACGAAGAAGGGTGTGAAAGTTCGCCGGGATTCGCGGGACCGTGAAACGAATGCGCGGAACTAATGCATTTATACGAAGTGTAACAATTAGGGCTGCAAACCTGGCCAAGGGGTTGGAGTTTCAAATTCCTCCAGGGACTCGACTGAAAGGGCGAAGACACAAAGTCGATCACTGGGGAACCGTTTCTTTGAGAAAGACGTTACTACGGCAAACTCTGTCAGTGTCTTCTCATTCGTTAATGAATCTCTCTTGTGAGAGAGTAGTTCGCAAACTTTTTTTTGGAGAAAGCTGGATTTAACTTTTTTTTTTTTTTTTTTGCTTAGCAATGGCACGCTAACTTTCCAAATCGTTACAAAGAGTTCTAGATATCCGATAACCGAAAAGAAACGTCCCTATTGAACGTTTGCAACGTGAAATAATGTAAAATCTTGCAAACGGTTAGTTGCCAGTTTTCATGAACGACTTGAAAGAAGGTTAACAGCAGTCAGGAGAATATCGTTAAAACTTTGCTGTCCGAGGTACAACAGCTAAGAACTTTTCACGCTACTGTGGGTAATTAAAAATGAAAAACCTTCGGCCGTGTCGTTCGCTTGGGAACCAACGAAATAAAACCGTACGTTTATGGCGATGTCGTAAGAGGAAGAAGTTGTTCCATTGAAAGTTAAAAGATAGTCAGCCATCGATAGTACCTCCGTTTATTTCGCAGGAGAAGACGCCCTTGCCAACTACCAACCTATCGAAATTTACAAAATTTAAAGTGTATAAGATATTAAGATCGTGACAATCCTTCGAATCATTCCGTTAAAAAAATAAAATCCACACGAAAAACGCTTCGGAAATTCTATTTCACAAAACGGACAAAAGCTGACGTGTCTGTAAAAAGGTATGTAAAATTAAGCGCTCGATTGAAATTATTTTCGGCTATCGAACGGGAAGAAAATAATCGGGGGTGGTTATACGGGCAGTAATCTGGCTATTAAGGGGTGTAAGGGGAGGTCCTTGGTACTGACTCGGCAAGGCACAGAGACTGCTAACCTCCTGCGGGGGTCCTTACAAGCACGTAAACTCAGTTTTACTAGCAGTTAACATTTTACGACTCAAACGGTCTGCCTGACTCTGTCTCTCCCAGTTTCTTTCTCAGTCACGCTCACGCGAGGTACATGTACCTTCCTGTTCCTCTCCTTTTCTAGCTTCCCGTCAACCGTGACACACGGATTCGTCACAGGGGTTCGAGTGAAGCACTAGCTATACCGTTATACAAACGTACAAAGCCGCGACAACGTAACGCTCGTCGTTTTCGAGGGTCGTTAGCGAGCGAACTACATTAATATGACACCCTGTTGAAGATCCAGCTAATTGTCCAACGAATTCACGTCTTGTTACGCATCGTGACGACGAAGATAAAGTTCGAATCGTTTAGAAAACCGTTTCGACTCTATGCTTCATATATCAGTCCTGCATTAACAGCCCCTTCTTGCGCTGGAATGACGTGCCACGCACATCGAGAATTTTTTTTGTTTCAAAAGTGTAATACTTTCTCAGTTTTAAGTATATTTAAGTGAAACAAAATAGGCAAAACAAATAATAAATTTATTACTTCTTAATAATTTCTATCCGGTGATCATACCGACGAGTTCAAAAAGAAAGCGACGAATGGTTATTGTGTACGGTTCGGTCACTCGTTATGGTCCGCAAACAGTTGCCAGCTCAAGTGGTTAAACCTCTTGCGCTGGAATGACGTGCCACGCACGTCGAGAATTTTTTTTGTCCCGAAATTGCAATATTTCCTCAGTTTTAAGTATATTTAAGTATAATTAAGTAGGTACAACAAATAATAAATTTATTACTTCTCAATAATTTCTATCCGGTGATATCATACCGACGAGTTCAAAAGAAAAAGGAAGCGACAAATTATTGTATACGGTTCGGTCACTCGTTATGGTCCGCAAACAGTTGCCAGCTCAAGTGGTTAAAAACCTCTTGCGCTGGAATGACGTGCCACGCACGTCGAGAATTTTTTTGTCCCGAAATTGCAATAGTTCCTCAGTTTTAAGTATATTTAAGTATAATTAAGTAGGCACAACAAATAATAAATTTCTTACTTCTCAATAATTTCTATCCAGTGATATGCCGACGAGTTCAAAAAGAAAGCGACGAATGGTTATTGTATACGGTTCGGTCACTCGTTATGGTCCGCAATCAGTTGCCAGGTTAAAATAAACAACGACTGCGATGATTACAGAAATTTTGCGAGTTTCCCTTTTGTCGCATAACGAATCGAACCAAATAAGGATTTCTCATACTGACTGATCGAGAGAGATGCAAAAATGATTGGTATTTTAGTAGTTATCTTGCGTTTGAATCATGCAGACGTTATTTGAAAAGTGAACGTGCCTGCCCGACGCAATAAATCAGATTGAGGGAACGAGTTGGACGGGCCAGGAGATACAGGCGAACAGCGTCCTAAAATATGCAAGGACTGCGTACACAGGGGCGGAAGAATGAGAGAAAGGGGAGGGGAGGAGAGAAAATCGAAAATCCCTCGTCGAAACAACCCTTGGGATAATTTAGATTCGCGAAGCGGAGCCGAGTGGTGCGGAGGTATGGCAACAGCCAAAGCTGGCGGTAGAACGCCGCTGGTGTGTATTGATCTAAACGGGAACCCGTGAAAGCAATTAAGATAAGGCACGGTAACAAAGGGTTGTCGGCTGCTACCCGCTTTTCACCGTAGGAAAACAGAAAGAGAGAGGAAAGGGGAAGCGGCAGGGAGGGGGGGGGGGGGGGGGGGGGGGGGGGGAGAAATAGAAAGAGCCACCGAGCTTGGTGGAAGTGGATACACGATAGAGAAAGGACGTAGTTCGAATAAACCAAAGGGTCAAAAAGCATCCCGAACGCGCGCGACCGCTGCGTTTTCCTGTCTTTTCGATCCCATCGTTCCATGGCAACAGAAACATTCGAATTCGTTAAACAAATAAATTCGTTTCTTTAATCCGTCGGATACTTCGATCTTTTTCAGACACTTACGATGTAAACGCGTTTCGATGAATAAAATTGCATCGAAAGATATAAATAAAGGAGAAAATCAGTTACAATTAGCTGACGCTAATTTGTATCGTTAAAATACATTAACCGAAATTGCAAATTTTACCTTTGCAAACATCGAAGTAATTGTAATTAATATGGGATGGAAGTGGTAGGAGTATAATCAGAACTTGAATAATGACCCGATCGATTCTATTACAGTTGGTAACATGACGCGGGAACCGGCGTTTATTTGAAATACGAATTTGTTAGAAAATCTGTAATTCATCGATTTCAGAGGTTTTGTCATATAAATCATTAATATACTCGTGATATGATGTTTCGTACAAACGTATAAGAATAAATTTAAAAAAAATAGATAGAAAAATCGCAAACAAAAATCAAAAACTGTATTTAAGCAAAGCCAATCGTGTGAATAAAGGAGCTAAAATGTTCGTGTTACAAAAGATTTAACTATATTGCTAACTATATCTTTACCGACGAAATATCCAATTTTAACTCGAACAAATAATGCGTATCAGCACTGTGGACGAACTATCTTGGAGTAAAATAAAATTATATTCGTATGTTAATAACCACTTGCGCTGGCAACTGATTGCGGACCATAACGAGTGACCGAACCGTATACAATAATTTGTCGCTTCCTTTTTCTTTTGAACTCGTCGGTATGATATCATCACCGGATAGAAATTATTGAGAAGTAATAAATTTATTATTTGTTTTGCCTATTTTGTATTACTTAAATATACTTAAAACTGAGAAAATATTGCAATTTTGCAACAAAAAATTCTAGACGTGCGTGGCACGTCATTCCAGCGCAATAGGTTAATATCAAGTAGATTCTTAATCCTGACCTAGTTCAAAGATGTTTTGAGACGCA